TCTGGTATGGCCGGTGTGGGGAACACTAGCTTAGGGTCCGTACACTTCTCCAGTTGTTGAATGTCGGAGCAGAGGCACCGGTAGCCCTGTTTGCTATTCGGTAGGCATAGGTGACTGCAGTTGGAGTTCTGGCAGTAATTGATTCCCAACTGTTGTTTATCTGAAGTCATAATCTTCACGAAATCGATGTCCAACTCGGAAGTGACCACCGTTTCGATGGCTGCGGACCTCATGTCGTCGGATATAGGGATCCGATATATTTTGTCCTCTTTAGGCGACGACCAATATATGGATCCATTGAACACATCCATTGATGAACAGTCGCTGAAGAGTTGTTTGGATTGTCTGAAAGTCATGCGATTATTACCGGAGAAGTCAATCGACGCAACGAATGCAACTCATTATCAATCCATACAATGGTCTGCCTCTTGAAGTCGATGGCAATGCAAATGGGAAGTCGTATGTCATTGAATACCAGTATCTTAGGGTCACTTCCATCTGAATTACACCTCCGGATGACTGCCTTTCCCTCTAAGAGATTATATTCAGTCCACACGACAAACGACTCGTACGGATTGACCACAATATTGCCGGTCCTGTTGTCGGACATGTATGTCCTGTAGGTATAGATCGGGGCCTTATTGGCGGTTAACGAGTACCTGACCTCTGGATTGTGGACATCAATCACGAAAAGATTGGTGGCATTGAAATAGTAGACCAAATCGTGGACCCAATCGATGGCCACATCTGTCACCGTATTCTCGTTCACAATAATTGATCGCTTATACACTTGCATATGCAGGTGACCATGGTCATCATCATCGAGTTTGGTCCTGAACTCAGCCACGTATATGGGGTACGGGAAGCGACTGCTCGACCACACGAAGTACTTGCCAGTGATGTCCACGTCCAGGCTCTTGATCTTATAGTCGGGCGCATAGAGTTCTCGCTGACTATCACCCGATTCTGGTCGCCAATGGTGTCCAAGAAGTCGTAACTGATTCCGTTGTCGTCGTTGTTGAATAATATGATTGGCGATTGGACTACCGGTGCCCGTTGTATGAGGTTGTCATCCACATTGTCCACTGTCTGCGAGTGTATGACCACTGCATTCATACATAATATTAATAGACAACAAGTTTTAAACATTTTTTGTTTAGTTTGTTTCACTTAAAGTATTCAAATGGTATGTGAAATGAATTTGATTGAAAAATCATACAGAATTTACTATAACTTTATAAATAATTAACTATTCAAAATGAATATAATACACAAATTAATTATTATGATATTATAGATGATTATACGATTTATACGAAAGTTATATTAAAACACTTTTATTCAATAGAAATTGAATGTAATATAAATGTCAATGAGTTTAGGCGTAGATAATAGGATAATAAATAATAGATAATAGATAATTGGAATAATTTACACATATATTTAACTTAAAAATCTTAATCGATAATTTTTATTGTTAGAAAGAAAAGACTTACATAATTTTTGTTTTAGTTATTGTTTTTTCTCGTGAAACACTTTGTTATTGTGAAATAATTATTGTTAATCAACGTGTAAAACCATATATATATTTTATCAATTAACAATATTATTAACAAAGTATATAATAAAAAATGTTAATAAAAAATTATTGTTTTTGTTATTGTTAATTCAAGTTGTTTTAAATTTTAGTTATTGTAATATTTGTTAAATAAATTTTACAAATTTTCTATTTTGTTGTTTTTAACAATAACAACGATAACAATAAGAGATATTTTTATTGTTCCAAACACTAATAAATTATGGACTTATAAAAGGTTCAAAATAGGATATTAATTTGTCTATTCTTTACTTTATAATATGACGACCAATAAATCACATTTTACGTTTCCTCGTATTCAATTGCGTTTGGAATTGAATTTAAATCTTTAGTCTGACTCAATTGCTGCATAAGTGAACCAACAGAGTCGTAGTATTCGCTCAACTATTTGATATTATCCAAAATACGGTTCACGGCTATAAATATGCTTTCCTTATCGCTTTTAAGTAGCAAATGCACGTCAATCTGAATCATTCTTTTGATGCCTAAAATAGGAATCAATGACTATACATTATTCTTATTATATTAGGGTTACCAGGTCAACTTTGTGTTTAGGAATTTAAAAAATGAGAAACTGGAAAATGTTTTAAAACAATTTTTAAATTCCTATTTGTGTTACATCGGTCCGAACTGGCCACCTAAAAACTAAAATTTTTATGAGACAATTGTAGTTTACGTTAATCTAATCGCAGGACGTAATAATGTTCCGCTGCGCACCTCTATTATACTCGAAATTTAGGACTCAAATGGCAAACAGTCTGACGCTCGAAAGCTAGACCTGGTATCCCTGATTTTTGTAATTATACTTTATATACTTGTAAGAAATGCCTTTAATGGTGCATATGCAGATGCCTCTTTGCCAACAGTTTCAGAGAAGATACGAATGCTTTTCAACGCTTCGACTAATACACCGCCTCGCAGACCGACCTTATTATAAGTTTCTTTCTCATTCTCTATGAGCTTTTTTTCAATCTCAAGCAGGCTTGAAATGCGCTTTTCAATTCCGGGCATGTTCTCGTCAATGTCCTCTTTCTTCATTTTCAACGTGTTCTTCGCGATGTCGCGTTTTTTCTTGCATTCTTCCATATATTCCGTTAAATAGCGCTGAGACTTTTCCTTGGCTTCTTTAGAATTTTCACTATCCTTTATTTGCAATAATCGTGCGTTTATCACATTTTCATAATATTTTCTTTTCGATTCCCTTGCCTCTAGCTTAAATCAACTCATTACTACATGGGTATTGATTATTTAAAAATAATTACCGTCCATTTATCGGGCCTAAAACGCACGTGTAGTCCAAAAATGGAAACTACACTCGACTCCTCAGGAAGGTTTTGCAGTTCTCTGTTAATCTCCATGTTTAGCATCGTGAGTTGCTACCTCTCCTCATTAATGTTACTGATTTCTCTTATTTTGCTATCGAAATGCGGTTGAGTTCGTCAATCAAGCATCGGTACCGATTTATTTCGGCTAATAAACGATTTAGCATAATTTTTTGTTAAAATATTTAAAATGTTTTTACCTTGCAGGTCCTCCAATTCAGCATACATATTATATCGCATGTTATACAGTTTAGTAAGTTCATCTCTATTATTTGAATGCTCCTCATTGAAGTTAACTGTTTTCTCGCCAATAATAAATTTTGAAATATTTTCAACTTGAGCGCCAAAGGCTTTGTAAGCAGAATCTGATAGATTGTCCGCCTTTTCAATAGAGGCTTCCAACTCATTTAACATCTCGCGCACATATGTTTGTGCAGTTTCAACAGCAGAGGGGTCACCTATTATAACGATTATAGTTTTGAAAAGGCTTACTGTGTTGTCAATGTTAGATTTTGATCATTTTATAAATATCCTACTAAACCTAAGCTGTTCTAAAGTTTTGCATTAGAGTTAAATCAAAACTGAAACCCCTTTTGCCAATTTTATTCTGCTTAGAAACAAACTTTCGACTGCTTGATAACTCGCGCTGCTGTAGACATTGTATTCCTAAGATCATTAATAGTGCCAAACGCTTCATAAAAGAATATTCTGGCCTCGATATGTTGTTTAAGACAAGCACTCAGGTTTGGGATAACCTAAAAGTGTTGGACATATTATTTTATTGTGTGAAATTAATTTTTCCTGAAATAAATCATGCGAACCTCTTTCTTCCAGTAATCTGAATTTGGATTATCCAAATTAGGTAAGAAGCGGAGCACATCATAGACGGCTTTGAACACATTTTCACATGACTCGAATGTTACCTGAAGCGAGTCAATTTGATGATTGATTTTATTTTTACTTTTCATATCATAAACAATAATTTTGCGAAATTCTTCCTCTTCAGGTTCCTCATGAACAACATACTGCTGTTCCTCAGTGTCGCCCAAATTCAATGTATCCCAATCGGGATCGTTACCAGATGTTGCCATAATTAACTGTAAATTTAGAGAAAATTAGCAAATCAATAATTAATATACTGCTGCCATTAATTACATTGAAACATAAATTAAAATCAAATGAACAATTATTATAATTGAGATAAGTATCAATGAAGTTTTAGTAATACTTATAACTTATATTCAATACTTGAAAGTGTTAAGAGTACTGTGATGAGGCAATAATAAATTGCAATTTTCTATTTGCTTTATAATTTGAACTTTGCAACTCATAAGTATTTAATATAAACCGTTACATTTGGTATTCACCATTGGCAACTTAGCTTGGTTGCCAATAAAGATATACACACAATGTGTGTGATAAGATTTAAGTATTACAATCTAGGATTGCAATACATTTTTCAGGAATTATATTTTTGTATTTATTATCGAAATCACCTTTATTGCTTAATCGCTTTATTGGGAAATCGATATAGTGGATTAGTAAAAAATTTTAAAAATAGTTGAAAAATTAGTTTCGAAATATACGAGAAACGCTAGAAATTCTTGAATTTTTAAACCTGAATAACTTTTTAACTATTTAAGTTACAAAAATCATTTTGATACCTATATACCATTTATAAAGCTTATTTGACTTTGTTAATTTCATAAAATTATATTGAGATTTAGTAAACTATGAACATTACCTTTTGCAACTAAATATGGCGATTGTAACATTATTAGTATATTTGTATTTTTGCTAAAAACTAATGTTAAAATTATTTGACATTACTAATTGAATAAATCTTTATATTGAAATAAAACTATTTTCTAATTCTGAACAAGTTGATATAACTTACCTGTGTTATTTCTATATTTTATATAGAGCAATATTTAAATACACGTCACTTTTATGTTTAAGAATTACACACTAACCTGCAACAAATTTACTTTACTAGTGTTAAACATAGAAAATACAATAATTTATATAAATTATTTATCATCAGTCTTAAAAAGAAATTCTCAGGTAATTATCGTATAAATAAAGTTATTACCATCGTATTGTAAGCCTAATAGTGCTTGTTAGTTTTTTCAAAATTTCTATACAATAACTGTCACATAAATCAATTTCACATCCTGTTATAAAGCTACAGTTTTTAAAGCATTATACTATTTTTGCATATGAATTGTGTCAAATCACATAAATAATCATGTCACATTAGAGAGGCCCCTTTATAATTAATTGACTTGTTTACATACCAAATATTGACCTATTTTATAATAGCGTTTACATCATGCACATCTGGTCATAAATGTACAATTATTACCAAATTGTTGCACACATTGTTCACTATAAAAACTTATGTGAACTCTCTTTAACATACAGCCCTCTGTGGGTAACACACAGATAAACAACACTTGTATTTAAATGTACTGTTATTTCAATAATAAAGATGTTACCCTATTATGAAAATTGTATTTGATTTACTATAATTGTGCCTGATCAACCATATAATTACAAAACTAGCAAGCTACATCATTGCAAGATTGAGCCTGGTGAGACTAATCCCACATTGGCTCAAAGTATTTAATAACAATCCCCAAAATTTTTATAATGGACGGTAATAAGTAAACGTTCCACAAAATTAATTGTTTACCATTTAATATATTGTTTTTCTATTTTTATTTACATTAGTATGTTTTTAGTTTTATTAAATGTATTTTTATGGTCTATTTATGGGTCGTTGATAAAATGTTGAGTATTTTATCATATTATGTAACTAATAAGCAGAAAACAATTGCTATTGTAAAATTTTGATTAAATACCCAGCCTACAAAAATCAAACATAATGTTTAGAAACTGACAAAATTACTATTGAGATTAATAATAGTTGAGTATGAAAGTGGCGAAATAAACTATATAACAATTAGCAAATATAATGTTAATTAAACTTTAAAAACAAATATTTTATAATTTTATTTATATAAAATAAAGTTTCAATTTAGTTTAAGTTAATAAAGTGAATATTTTATAATTTTTAATTTTCTATAAAGTTGTATGTGTCTAAATGGAAAAGTGCCATGATCACAATTATTAATAATTTTTTAATATTTTGTGTATTTAATACATGAGAAATGTTTGTATAAATTGTATAGATTCATGTTTATCTATAAATATTAAACTATGTTAATTATTATCAAATTTAATTTGAATGGTTACTATTTTTATGAAATACTCACACAAATGGATTATATGGTAAATACTATCATTGATCTCTCGATACCTTAATTGCAAATATTTATACAGAATATAAACAAAGAAAAATGAGGTTAACATAAGTGACCCTAACGTAGGAACGGCTATGATATGCAAGAAAAGCTAAATGACCACGGATACACCTACTTCCCAAATACCCTGATGCAACCACCAGTAATAGACAAATAACCAGATTACTGTGGCATAGAAGCCTATTTTGCCCACAGTTACCACTAAAATGATGTATTCAAATGCAAATTTTGTGCTAGCTGCATAATTGAGCGCATAGTGCCTGCTCAATTCAAGTGTACTAAATGATTCAAGTTTATAAAATGTATAAATAACATGAGCATCAGTCCCAGCTTCGGCATATAATTAAAATGACCCTGTACAATGATTAGATACAGTTGAAAGTTAAAACTTACTAATTTGTATAAGTATTTGATTTGATACCAATGAATGCGAATAACCATATTAAAAGTGCTATTCCCAAATTAATATAAGCACCCTGTTCAAATCCACTGAACAAATCAATGAGCCAATATCGTACAAATAGACAATCAGGTATGAGGTATACCAGGGCACATCTCAGGCCTAATAGCCAGCAATTAATGTTTTGTGCGTAGGCCACAAACATACGCCATGGGGCCGGAGTTGGTGCCCGGTAGGCGTCCAGACCGTGATAAATGAGCAAGGTGTTTTGGGCAAAGAATTCATGAAACATTTGTATGCCCTCCACAGTGTCTGTATTAATGGTATCATTGTCTCGTAATTTGCGATACTTTGAACCTAGTATGAAC